GTCCTGCAGGCTGTGACCAGAGGCTCATGTGGTGGTTGGAGAACCCTGGCAAAGACTCTGAAAGGGTTTAGAGCAGATCACAAGAACTGTTTCCCCATTCCCTTTCCCAGAAAAGGTTTGTGTATATATCTTCTAGAGGGAAAAATGCAGAACTTGGTGCTTAGAGGAGGAAGTTGGGATTTGGTTTGAACTCAGATGTACTTGGTCGCTGTCTTGTTGGAAACTGTTGATGCAGGGAATTCACTGCCTCTCCTGTGCAGAACAACTAGAGGAGCCTGTTCTAGACTCCAGTGGCTGCATTTTGCTCTGCTCTACGAGTTTGTGTCAATATGGTTTCCCTTTCTCACCTCGAGGTTAAACTCGCTGCTTTCTAGAGTGGCTTGTTTGGAGTTTTTGAAAGAAAATGGGGAAACTTCCCCCAGCGCCCGGATGCTGCCAAGAATTTCCTGCCCAACCTGAGAGAAGAGGAGGAACCCCCTGCCCATGGGGACAGCAGCTCAGCCCTGGCACGGGGGGCTGTGCTCAGCAGAGCTCCCTGCTCCTCCTGGGCCTGTCCCAAATCAACCGGGCTTCTGGCATCGCTCCCACCGCCACCTCTTGATCTGGACCTGCCGTAAGCTGCAGCCTGGTTTGCCATCTGCTTCCTTCACCTCCTGCTGCTCATGTCCTTTCCAGCCTCGCTCCTGTTTAGCTGGCACGTGTTCATCCCACCTTGCCAGCCACCTCTCGGGGAGGTTGCTCGGGAAAGGCTTCCAGCCCCGGGAGGCACCTCCGTGCCGAAGGACCGGAGGAAGAGGCAGCGCTTGGAGCGTTGCAGGAGGAGCTTTGCATCTACCCCGGGGCTGCGGATCTCCCTGTCCGGGCTGAAATGGGATGTGCAGCTGCTGGAGCACTTCCACAGGCCAGGAGAGCGCAAAGGTGATGGTACGAGACGCACAGAGCGCGGGCAGACCTGCTAACACGGCACGGGAGAGCCTCTGCACAGCAATCCAGGCACGACTGCATCCCCTTTAGGGATCATCCTGCCCCTTTTTTCCATGCTTAAAGCTGGATACATGAGCGAGCCCGAGGAGAAGGCTTCATCCCGCGTCTGTGAGCATGGAGCATGCTGGCTAGAGCAGCAAGGAAGAGGCAAACAAGGCGGCTGTTGAGCAGATGCATTAAAACAAGAGCAGGTTTCCCCCGGTGACAAAATCTGGAGCCTGGAAGTTGGGCTCTGGGTGTCCCAGACTGTGGATTCACACAGTGCTCAAATCAGCTCTTGGCCAGGCTTGCACAGCAGATGGCTGGGCCTGCTTGGTCATATTCAAAGCCCACCAAATTCAAAATTCCAGGCTGAGCTGCTCCAGTGTTTTACACCATGTACCCAACTGCAAGGCGAGGATGCCTGCGGCTTGAAATGGAGCTTTACAGTTCATGGCTGCTGACTGAATTATTAAAATACAGTCCTCGGAGAGAAGATAACTTGCCTTAGAAAATGTCTGTGTCAACAAAGATAAATTGGATCTTTATGATGATGAAACTAGACTAAATAGAGAAGAATGAGTAAAATGACAAGTGGTTATAAAGAGACGGAGAGGATCTCTGCTGAGTGATGGGAGGTTACTGGGTGTCAGGGGTTGCCTCCTGCTTGTGTGACTGCCCTGGTGTCACTGAATGTTGTGTAAAACCAGGCTTTGTCCAGCTCCTGAGACCCGTAGGTGAGAAAACAGTGTGATAAATAACTTGGGATGGAGCTGCTAAGGTTTTGAGGGGGGATGAGCGTATGTGATGTTTTCCCTTGGGGCTGGGATTCCTGCCTGGACAGAAGGGATTTCACAGCCCGGAGCCAGGGCTGTGGCTGACGCAGGGGCTGGAGTGCTGGGACTTGGTGGCCTTGGTGCCAAATAGGCTGTTAGAGGGATGTGACAGCATCTCAGAGCTGCTTGGTGGAGGCTTTGTCACCTGTGTTCCATGAGGGTCCCCTTGGGGGACATGGGCTGTGGCTGCCACCCTGCTCGCCCTCTGTGTGACCGTTTATTTTTACCTTAAATAAAAGGCTGGAGGTGGCCAGCCCTGCTGGCCCTGGGCAACCAGGGCTGGGATGGAAGCGGATCCCATTGTAGCGCCACGGCGAAGGGACCGCGGCCTTGGGGACCTCGCGCCGTGCTCAGGGGCCACCGCAGCCCTCGACGTGGGGCCGAGGGGGCCGTGGCCCCGTTCTGTCGAGGGCCGGCGGGTTTTAATTAACCGCGGGCGCAGCGGCCGCGCGGGCCCATCTGTTCATCCAAGCTGTCAGCGCGCGCCGCGGTATCTAGGTCGAGCCGGAGGGCGCTGCCACCGCGGCTGTGCCGCCCTGCTCCGTCCCTGTCACCTCGTCCTGCTTGCCCGGCACAGCTGTGAGCACGGGGAGGAGGAGGAGGAGGAGGAAGGGTCACGGGCCAGCCCAGGGCTGTGGCGGCTTCGCATTGAGCGTAGTCCCCCTGTCACCCTGCCTTTTGTGGCCGGATTTACGGTCTCTGGGCTGGTTTTGGTACCTGGGTGAGGGTCCAAACGTGCGGTGCGAGGGCAGGGGTTGGCAAGGGGGTCTCTGATGACTCTTCAGTGTGAGGATGGCACCGTCAGCCAGGCTGGGGGGACACGGGTTCCATCCCAGGCCACGTCCTGCCACGGAGCAGCCTCGTGGTGTCCAGGCCCTCGTCCTCCTCCAGGTGGGTGTCCCATGATGTCCCATTAGGGGAACAGGCCAGCGGCCCCGGGGGGTTTCTGGGGATGGAAGGACCCGTTTCAGCCCCGTCTGGTCCCCAAGGTTGAGCCCTGGCACCTTTCACCTTGTGTCAAGCAGCACGAGTGCCCAAATGGCACTGTCACCATGTGCCTGCGTGGCCCTAGCCCCCTGCCCTGGGGAAAACCACCCCTTACTCTGTTTAATCTCTCCCTGTGTTAGTACTTTAATGAGTCCAAGGCTCTGGCAGATGATAGTAATTGTGTTAATTAACAGATTGGGTCTGTGCTATTCCCTGTGAGTTTTACACCCTGCCCTAAATTGTATCGAGTTGGAGTGCTCTGGGTTTGGACAACAAGGGCTTGGAAGGACCTAATCCCCTGCTTATGGTAGTACCTGCTGCATCTGCATCATTAACTAAATTAAAATAAGTCTATCCACAAGGAAGGAGACAGGAAGCAGAGGCTCTTCAGCCCAGCAGGAAGGAGCACAGCAGAGTCCATGGACCAGCCATTAACTCCAGGCATGTGGAAAGGAGCAAAGTCCAATAGCAAGCATGAAATATTACCATTAGTGATGGGAGTTTACTGGGGCTGCTGAGGGACTGTTCAACCTTGGGAATATTCTAATCCAAAGTGAAGATTTTCACTGTCAAAACCACATTTGGATGTGAGCAAGGAAGAATCTCACGCGTGTTCCCAGGCTGGGCTCACCTTAACGTGAGCAAAATGGTCCAGGCCTGGAAATGCAGGCGACCTCAAGCCCCTGCCCTCCTCTGATCCCACTCCAAGGGGGAAATGGGGAAATCCAGCCTCAAAAAGGCTGCTCCCTGTTCCATCCTTCCCCCAGCTTGATACTAGCACAGCCAGTGAGCATCACCCAGGGAAATAAGCCAAGGAAATGTGGATTTCCCTGTGGGATCTCTAGGTGCTCTGTCCAGGTGACTTGGCCAGCTCTTTGCCTCGCTTGTGGCCATTTCCGACTGCAGCAGATTATGGAGCTGGCCCGATAGGAAGTAAAAAAGGGTTTATGAAATTCCAGCACATAAGTACACAGAGGAGCGTCCTCCTTTCCTTGCTCTTTCTGTGGAGTTGATGCAGGCAGTGCTGGCTCGGTGCTTATCCCGGCCAAGTGAGGAGGATGCGCAACCTCCAGGCTGGGAGAGTGTCCCTCCTTCCCCATTGCAGCCTGGATCTCGTCACCCTTCCCGAAATAGCTGTCCTTGGGACAGGCGTGGGGTTATCTGATCCTCTCAGTGCTCTCCTCTGCCCTTGGGCTGCTCCTTCCCAGCATGGAGCCCGGGGGGAATAGGGCCATGTTAGCAGAGGAAATGCAGTGCGGGAAGGGGATGAGGAGAGTGGGAAGAGATGCGTCTGTCCGTGGAAGAGCAGGAGCAAGAAGAAAATCCCGGATGCAGTGAGAAACGGAGGGGCAATGCTGGAGAGTGGGTCAGGGCTCTGCATGCCTTGGAGCCCATAGGTCACGGTCATCCCTGGACCGTTGAGCACAGCACGTGGAGCACCTTGTTGTGCTCCTGGACTGTGGGCCAAGCACCGGGGCTCGTAGCCCTCCCGTCACACCCCACGCTGCAGGTCACTGCTCCCAGACCTGGGGCTGTGCCTAAGCTGCACATCGCCCCCAGGATCGAGGTAATCTATGGAGAACAGTCCAGCAGTACTGGGATAGTCCACGGTCCTGATGGAGCAATCCCAATGCGTATGAGTGTTGTTACCTTCCCTGGAAGGACCCTGTGCAGCTTAAACTGAAGAGCAGCAAAGGGAAATAGTGTGTTCCCAAGCACCACGTCATGGCTACAGTCCCTTGGTGACCCCACCGTGGAGATTGCTGTCCCCTTCCCTCCTTCCAGCTGCTTTTGTTGTCTGGGGATCTCTTACTGTCTGGCGCATGGGACGTTTCTGGTTGCAGCCCTGTGACCCTGGAGCCACCGTGGCCAGCAGGGACACAGCGACCTGCTGCGAGGAGCTGCTTATGACAGAAGCAAAAGTGGAGGCTGCTGCAAGGGTCTCCTGCCTCAGGACCTAGCACGGAGGGGAGGAACATCCAGTTCCTGCAGCCCGTCCAGTGTGTGCACACACAAACCCAGGCTCATGCCCGTATGTGCCCTCACGGTGCCCCTCGTGTTCGCCCTGTGCCCCTGTTTTCCAGGCTGTTCATCCCAGCACAGGATTCCTCCTTGGCCAGGGGACTTTGGGGGTGCCACTGTCCCCCTCTCAGCCCTTCCCTTTGTCACTGTGTGATGCCCAGGGTGCCCATTAACCTCTCCGTGTGTGCCCAGAGAGCCAACCCACGACGTCGGACGAGACGGTGGTGGCCGGCGGTACGGTGGTGCTCAAGTGCCAGGTGGAAGACCCTGACGACTCCTCCCTGCAGTGGTCCAACCCTGCCCAGCAGACCCTCTACTTCGGGGAGAAACGAGGTACGTGCAGGGGAGCTGGGGATGGAAAAGGGAGATGAACAAATTCTGAGTCCAAAGGATTGTGGGAACAGAGGGAAGGAGCACCAGGGTACATGGTGCCTCAGAAAGGTGATCTACCTTCCTGCTGCTGCTGTTGGGTTAAAACATGACCCAGTGGAGGGTCCTGGTGGTGCTGAGCCCCCACCACTCACCCTGCTGTCCCCCTTCTTCCAGCCCTGCGAGATAACAGGATCCAGCTGCAGAAGTCCACGCCAAACGAGCTCACCATCAGCATCAGCGAGGTGGCCCTCTCCGATGAGGGGGAATACACCTGCTCCATCTTCACCATGCCCGTGCGGACCGCCAAGGCCCTCGTCACCGTGCTAGGTAAGCCCCAAGAAGCGGTTGCTCCAACCTCCTCCCTATTTTTTCCCTCATGGGGTATCCTCCTCTCTTCACCCTGACCCGTAACGTGTCCTTGCCCTGTCTGCGCGTCACCATCTCATACAGCTGAGCTAAGAGGCTGTTGCGTTTCTTGCCTCCGCTACCAGGGATCCCCCAGAAACCCCAAATCTTTGGCTACGAGCAGCCCATCGATGAAAACAAGACGGCCCAGCTGACCTGCCGCACCTCTGGCAGCAAGCCCGCGGCCCAGCTGCGATGGAGGAAGGGCAACAAGAAGCTCCTGGGTAGGTGCCCAAGCGGTCGGGGCTCTGCGCCAGAGGGCTGGGGCAGGGAGGAGCACCGGGGAGGCAAACGGGGCACCGGGGCTTGCAGCTGTGCCCAGCGCTGGACCACGTGCCACTATCAACCACAGGACAGGGACAGAATGTCCCCCGCTCAACATGCATGTTGGCCCTATCGCTCTGCCAGGGCAGCGTGCCCTATATCCCCATCACCTCCAACGGGTCCTCCTGTCCCCCCAGATGCAAGAATCGAGGTGGTAGAAGACCCCAACGGGAAGACCTTCACTGTGAGCAGTCAGGTGGAGTTCCCTGTGAGCAAGGAGGACAACAATATTGAAGTGACCTGCACGGTGGACCATGAGTCCCTGCAGAACACAGAGAGGTCAACCACGCAGAAGCTGCAGGTCCACTGTACGTGGGATGCAGGGATTGGTGGGGGACAGGACCATGGTGGGGCAGGGACACGTGGGGTGGGGGACATGGGCGCAACACTGTCACGTGTCATCCCCAGAGCCTCTCACCCCCATCCCAGAGGCTTGCTCCCATGCAGGCAGGAGCAGGGCCAGCACACGGGGATGCTCTGGGGACGGGGTTTGGGGGTGCCAGCAGCCCCCTGCTCGGTGTGGGGCAGGCTGCCATCCAGCTGTCTCTCTTGTCTCCACGCAGACATGCCAACGGCCAAGATCGAGCCGCATCCCCAGTACCCGCGCGAAGGCGAGAAGCTCCGGCTGCAGTGCGACGGGCAGGGCAACCCCGTGTAAGGCCCTCCGCTCCCTTCAGCTCCGCGTTCCTGCCTCCTGGCCACCCCAGCCTCCCTGTGCCAGGGAGCCAAAGCAGCCGCCTGGGTGTCCCCAGAGCCCTGGTGCAGACAGGACAGGGCAGTGTGGGGTGCGACCAGGACAACGTGGGTCAGATGAGGACGTTGTGGGCTCAGGGCGCTGCGGGTTCGCGTCAGTGCCAGGCAGAACCAGGCACCAAGTGCAAGGCAGGTGAAGTCCCCATGTCCCCTCATAATGAATCCTGCCTGGTTCATCCCTAAAGTGGGTCCCTTCCTCCTGCTTGAAGATTCCCGTGCCTTCCCTGCGCTGCTTGGGCAGTGGCTCTGCCCCGGGCACCAGCCCCGTGGTTCTGGGAGGGCAGGGAGCCTCACGCCCATCCCGCTCCACAGCCCCGAGAGGTTCGAGTGGAAGAAGGAAGGCAACGAAACCCCGCTGCAGGAGAGCTCCGAGAACATCCTCTTCTTCCCCTTCCTCAACAAGAGCGACAGCGGCACCTATCTCTGCAAGGCCACCAGCTCCATGGGCAGCGTCGTGGCCAAGTACAACCTGGACGTCAGCGGTAAGCGGAGCCACGGGGCACCCTGCAGCACGCGGCTCTTCCCAGGAGCTGGCAGCGGGCACGGCACCTCCATCCCAGCTGCGTCCCACCACGGGGGGACGCATGGACACGGCCTCTCACCCGGCAGCTTTGCACGCAGGGTGGGCACTCGGGGCACATGCATGGCCGGGGTCCCTGTCCTGCTGCCGAGCAGGGTGCTCAGCACCCCGAGGAGCACTGCGTCCCCAACTCCTCCGGGTGCTCAGTACCCTTAGGAGCACTGTGTCCCCAACTCCTCCAGGTGCTCAGCACCCCGAGGAGCACTGCGTCCCCGGGTGCTCAGCACCCCGAGGAGCACTGCGTCCCCGGGTGCTCAGCACCCCGAGGAGCACTGCGTCCCCGGGTGCTCAGCACCCCGAGGAGCACTGCGTCCCCGGGTGCTCAGCACCCCGAGGAGCACTGCGTCCCCGGGTGCTCAGTACCCTTAGGAGCACTGTGTCCCCAGCTCCTCCGGACACATCGGCTCCTGCCGTGTCCCCCCCTGCTGCTCTCGTCTTCGCCTGGAGCCGGCCTTCGCCCCAACCCCTTCGGGCTGCGTCCATCCCTGCTGCTCTCGTCTTTGCCTGGAGCCAGCCTTCACCCCAACCCCTTCAGGCTGCTCTGGCCTTCCCTCTTGGCCGTGCATGTGACAGCATAAGGAGAGGGGCACCTGGTCCCACCAGGCTCTGGTCAGGGCCAAGAGGGGCAGAGAGCAGCTGGAAGGGGAGTTGAGGCCGGGACACTGAGCTCAGTCCCTGTCACCTCCTGCTGCACGTAGGAGGGGTTGCAATGGCAGGGATTAACGGGGCCACAGGCAGGACTGAGCTGGAGCCTCGGCGACCTGAGCAGCTCGCGGGCGAAGGAGGCTCTGCGCTACCA